TATTTTGTTAACTAATTCAAAACTTTTTTTTTATTTTTATTTTGAATTTTTACTATATTATGTGACATTGATATTTAATTTGTTTTAAAAAAATTATTACCTACTAAATATTTTGTTAGCGTAGCGATATTTGTTTTACAAAAAATAAGAACCGAGAACCTGGACCGAACAGATCATTCCAAACAGGACGGATAGAATTCGGTTCCTATTTTGAGACTTGATATACCCGAACCGGACCTACTCGTTATATGGAACCGGCGATTCGTGAAAATCTATCATTTACCCGGACAGACCCAGACCTTGCTCACCCTAGATGAAATAGCTTTTTGCCCTAATAGCGATGCCCAAACCGACGGTTCCTGTACCCATTTGTTCAGCCCTAATTTCGCCCCAAAAAAGTGTAGTATCATATATGTGTTTATGTATTTAAAAAATTGTATTGAAAAAAGCTAATTCCTAAATTGTACTCCATCCGTTCTCTAATACATGTCTCTCTTTCCATTTTGGGATGTTCTCCAATACATGCCTCCCTTTCCATTTCTAGAAAGTTTTTTCAATAAATATACCTATATACCCTCATTCTCTTTCCTATTTTTTCATTCTCTTTCCTACTTTTTCCTTTACACACAACTCACTACACCTTTTATTCTACCCCTATTAATTTCTTCTTAAATCTTGTGTCAAAGGCTATACTCCTATCTATTAGAGAACGGAGGGAGTATTCAAAACTTATTATATATTTCAATCATTTTTTCCATGTTATTTTTATAAGGCCTTGTTTAATTTTAATTTAAAGTAAATAAATCAGTTTGTAATATGGACGTTGAAGTTGGTTTATATTTTTAATTTCAAATTAAGTTATTAATTAGTGAGAGTGAGAAATTGTTGTATTCCAAAAAAATTGTTTTATTTCAAGTCTTACGTTAGTTAGTACCCACGTTAGTTAGTAGAAGAGGTGTCTTGATCTTCAAAAAACTTACTCCCTCCGGTTCATATTCTTCTTTATACTTTCCTTTTGGGACTGTCCCAAAATCATCTTTACACTTCCTTATTTACCTTATTTGGCAAACAAATCTACACAAAACAGTGCCAAACAGTGTTCAATCAGTGTCCAAACAGTGTCAAACAGTGCCAAACAATGTATTCTACAGTAAAACCAAATTTATTTCCTTAAAAACCGTAAAGTCAAACTGTAAAGAATAATGTGAACCGGAGGGAGTAATTCCTAAACATATTTCACTCCAAAAAAAGTTTAGGGTCATATCTCCCCCTAGAAAAAAACATTAGAATCATTTTTGCCCCTTTTCCCTATCCCAATATTTAACAAAGCGTCTTTTTTATAATTGGGGCATTCCAGAAATTCTCAATAAGACAATCTCGATCCCACTCAAAGCAAGATCTATGTACATGCTATGGTAGACTAAAACCCAAAACAAATTAATTTTTTTTTCAATTTTTTGTAGTGTAAATTTTTCATTTAACATATTTGGCACACCCCTCTTATAATTAAGCCCAGTACAATTATATTTCAGGCCAATCCAACCAAGATTCCTGGATTCACCCTGAGGCCCCTACTAGACTATCTACATGTGACCCCTACTAGATTATCTACAGGGCCGGCCATAGGGGCATCCAGCCTAGACATTTGTCTAGGGCCTCCAGTTTCTAAGGGGCCTCCAAATTTTCATGTAAGCCCATATATATTATATATAAATACTTGATCTAAATTGCTAATTAATGATAAAATATCTTCTAATCTAACAAGTACGGAGCAAAACATTAAAAAAATTAAAACCGGCAGACGAGTGAGGGAGCGGACGAGTCTAAGAGTCTTCAGTTTTCTACGATTTGACCCTTCAATTTATCTTCTTCGGCTCTTCAGAAACCGCAAATCCCAACAATCGCCAATAGCTGGTCCCCTACTCCCCTCTCAATTCCGCCGAAGCAGACCGCAGTGGCCACCGGCCACAGAGTCCCAACATCCGCATCGTGCACAGGTGCACAGCCGCACATGGCCTCTAGCTAAAAGAGTAAAGGACTAAAAGTATGTAATGGTCTTTTGTCCAACTGTTTTCACTCGTGATAATCTTAATTTCTGGAAGCTTTTAAAATGCTCAAAACCTTCAATTATTGATGTAGTTGATCTATCTTTTAATTTGATTGCCTTGAATTGTTAATTCTTTAATAGTTAGTCGGTGTTAGGACTTAGGCAGTAGGTTATAGCCTTCAATAGAGACAGGGGGCTAGGCTATTGGTATTTGTTGTATAATTATATTATAATAAATCAAATAATAATAATTCAATTTAATCATTAAAAATTATTGTGTATTTGTATAATTGTATTTATATTATTCAATATTGAAAGTTAGAAAAACTTTATCTAGTTAGAAATTGTATGAAATTTTAGGTTTACGATGACGGGAAAACGAAAACATGACTCGGGCTCTACAAAGAGATTGAATAAAGGAAAAATTGTTTGTAATAATCCCAACTATTGGCGGTCCGCTTATAATAATCCCAACTATCGATTATTTCAGAATAATCCCAACTTTAGGGACCTTCCGCCAATAATAGTCCCTGTAAATAAATTTATGAAGTTTCTAAAGTGGATGAAAAGAGATATAGCAAGTAATCCCTATAAATAATCCCAACTTTTAATTTTCACGCTTAATTTTTATTTAAAATTCACTTTTATAGGAGGTAATATTTGGTCATGGACCATTATTGGCGGATGACCCATATAGTTGGGATTATACAAAAATAATCAATAGTTGGGATCATTGTTAGCGGATGGGTAATAGTTGGGATTATTATTTTCAATTTTTCCTTGAATAAATTAAGAAAAGACATGTCATAAAATCGTTTGCCGGCCTATGGATAGGTACATAATATCTAAACCTTATCCCTCAAATATTGTTGAGAATGAGACTACAAATGTTGAGGTTGAAGTAAATGTTAATATAATATGATGCATTTCATATATAATTCACTTTTATTTCTTTTGAATTTCAATTTTTTTATATTGTTGTATTGAATTAAATGTATCAAAACAAAATGTCTAAATGACCGTCTAGGGCCTCACAATCGCTCTAGACGGCCCTGATTATCTACATGCAAATCGCGATGCAAATCCCCTCCCAACTAGTTCCTAATAACCTCAACTTTTGTGAATAAGGAACGACCATCAAGTTATCGCTCATTAAGACCCCTTTCTATTGTTACACTAGTAACCACCGAAACAAGTCTTCCACAGTGCCACGGATAACCCTCATCACACTAATTTATCCATCAAAGTTTCATGGCTGGCTTGAACTTATATATCCAGTCGCGTAAACAGACCTTTATTTGAGCCGGTGCTTAGAAAGGCGAGAAATATATGAAGAAATTTTTTTTCATACATGACGGTTTACATACTTTTTGCACACTCCTCTCAATTTTCAGTGTACACAGACAATTCATAAAAGTTCAGAATTTCTCAAAATAAACACATAAGATTATGATTATCTAAAGTCAAAGTGTTAGAAAATTTTCCTTTTCAATGTATAAAGAAATGTCAAAAAACTAAATGTTTACATCTGAATAGCGATCTAACTATTCCGGGAAATTCAACACGAGGTTGTTTTGCCATCAGTCTTTATTTACAGTGCTTGAAGATTCTCCAATCCGTATCAGAAATTTTAACATGTTTAACCTAACAAATTACACAACAATAAATTCATATGCTCTGTAATAATAAGCTTCTGGTTTATACTTGGTCACTAGATTCACTATTAAATTATAAGACAATTTAGTTAAGAAAATAAAAACACATTACACTTCTCTAATACAATATATTTAAGGTACTAGCAATACACTACGACACTATCTAATAAAAGAAATGACCACTTAGTTCACTTCAACAACAGATTACAAATTTCCAATTTACACAACTCACATAGAATTATATATTTATATAGAGTACAAAATTATACAGCAAAAGATAAACTACCTTTCCAGACTTGCAGTTCTCGGTTCTCCCAAGCCGCTTGGGTGAAGCGGGAAAGCAGCTTTACTGTTTTAGCCTTCACAGGTTCACCCCAAATGCGCAGCAGTGAAGCTCCAGCCGTCCAGGCGTGAGGTGTCCAGCACAGCGCCGGTGGTCCGGCACGGCGGCACCTAAATTTCAGTCATAGGCTTTTGGGCAAAGCGGGCAGAGCGGCCGATTGGCTATTTGGCCAATTTACGAATTGAATGAATAACGAGGAGGGTTGAATCAAAGTAATTTTCTCATATTTATTCAACTGTTAAATATTGGAAGAATGGGGTGTCGTTTTTTACATAGGTATGGTCGTTTTACTTATATTTCTCCTTTTCAACTTTGTCGTTTTTGTCGTTTTTGTTGAACTAAGTTTTTGATTTCAAAACCTTAGTTCGTATAGAAGAGCAACACTGCAGAGCACAGAGGAAGCCGGGGCGCCGGAAAGAATGAAAGGAGCGCCGGAAAAATCAATACATATATATACCTAGACTTTCCCGTCGAAGGGGGAGCGCCGGCACCGGCTCGCCCCCCGTTTCGCCGCTATATATATCTCAGGATGATGAGTCATCATTTTTTAAAAGGAAATCCGTTGAACACATAAAGTGTGGAATTTGGAGTAGTATGACAAAAGAAAATTCTTCAAAAAAAAGTATTCCGTATAATCAAAGAAGTATCTATCAATCTATGTAATAAAGAAGATATGATTATATTAAAACTAGTTTTAAGAAAAAACACGTCTTAACAGGCACATTGAAGCACATTTGGAGTGATTTTGGAAAAAGTGATTAGTAGTAAACTTAACATTTGAAAATAATGTTAGGATAATTATGAAATCTATAGATATTTCTTTTTCTTCCATTGCCGTTTTCCTCTTTAGCTTCATTTTGTTCTCTAATTTTTCCTTCTTTAGTGTTTTTCTTCTTTAGCATTTGTACTTTCCTTTTTATTATTTAAAACTTAGTAAGTTAAAAAAAAATGAAATCTGTAGATATTTTCTGTCAAAGATAAAGCCAAACATTTGAAAATAATTTCTTCTGCATTTGTTCTTTCCATTTCACTTAAGGTGATTCAAACCCACCCTATCTGATTCATTAAAAAGAAAAGTATAAACCTTGGTAGCTAAGGACTGTCCATAACAGATCAATCAAATTGTGCTATGGAAGTTACTGACATAGGACTCAATTGCATAGTAGAAACCAAACAACAACCTCCGAGCCTTATTCTCAGGAGTATTTGGGGTCGATTAACTTGAGCATATAATTGAGACCATTTTCTCAAACCCTTTCCAACTCAGTGTTGTGTTTATTCAATTGGTTGCCCAATTGCTCCCTCCATTCTTCTATAAGTTTCTCTTGCTTACTTATTATCTCCCTTTTCATTTTCAACTCTTCTTCCATGGTCGCAATCTCCTATCAAGAGACATATCATATGATTCATATCAGAATATAGTAGACTAGGTGCTGGGCGGACCAGACTGGCCCCAACAAGGAAGTTGGGCACAAAAGTGCATTGAGATGAAGCATTTGTGAGAAAGTTTCAACTCTTTCCCAAAATTAGCTTCCCGTTATGCTTTTACCCTTTCTAGGAAAACAAAAATTATAAGGTCGAGAGTTATTCAAAAATCAAAGAAAAATATAAAAAACACAACTCTTTCCCTGAAAAGAAATGGGAAGACAATTTTGAGATCAATAAAAATGACAAGTGAGAAGTCTTTATTTTGATAATCCACGGATGCCCTCCACAGTGTCCCATCCGTTAGACTTTGCACCCCATGGCTTACATTCAAATTTGGCAGCTAGCTTTGTGTTGCAATATTGAAGGAAATAATTCGTGGTGCAATATCAAATACGGAGTATAGGGGTATATCATGGGGTATAAAGTAAATCAAACAAGTGAGACCAAATAAAGACTCGTATCTGGATGAGGATCTTTAGAACAGATTGATTGTCATAAATAGTTGAACAAAAAGAAATGAGGCAAGTGAAGCATCTCTAAGCTATAATCAGATTACCTTTAGGAGACAACTTGCTCTGCTTGGCTGATCCTGACGTTGCAATCCAATAAAAAAAAGTTGAAGTTTTTTTGCCGCGTCCATAAAATCTCTAGCATGCCTCTCAACATCAACTAAAAGAAACACCTTGTTGAGCAATTAGTATTTACATAGAAGCATAAATCACTAACCCCTTGTATGGTTTGGGGGCAGAGAAGGGGGAATGATATTTATTTTTATTAATAATTTGACTCCCACTTTTGTTGATTAAAATGAATGTAAAAGTGGGAAACCATAACGAAGTACACTGTTTAACTAAAAATATACGGAGAACTAGTTTTCTAATATAAAATATTGATAAATTAGTAAACCTGATTTTACCCATACAGTTCCCTCCCCACTGAAACAGTGCAACTGAGCAAGCAAGAAGGTTGATTGAATAAAAGACACACTGACGGAGAAGATGTAACTATAAAATGAAAAGGATTTAAATAAATTGAGATGCATGCTGCACTCAAACCAAACTACCAAAGGTCTATTTGAATGGAGAACTTAAGAGGGCCTTGGAGGCAGATGCTTTGAATAGTTGATAAAAAAAATGTTCCTAGAAATGAATAATAGATAATGGAAATGTTATACGACAGCCAGCATATCATATTAAAGTCGATCATTTTTATAAAATCTCAAATATATACCAAAAGGTAAAATCCATTGATATTTTCCCCTCCAAAACACTCCATCCAAATATAACTAAAGTTTCTATACTCTGTGATTTAGTCTTCTTTTGACAAGGTTCAAATAAAGTTTCCACACTTGACTAACCAGCATAATATTCTTATTTCATAATTTTGTTCATCTGGTTCAAATAAAATTGACAGGGCATTTAAATAGAGGTATAGAGTTGGAATAACTGACTCTGGTGATAAGGATGAGCAGAACGGTCAATTGCCTGGAGTTCTCTGGCAGGTAGGCATGGAAGCAATGCAGCTTCTAGAGCCATGACACAGGCAATCATATCATCCTTTATACCAGGCTGGTCACTAGCATGCCGCTCAGCCATCCCCCTTGGCTAACAAGTCATACACTGATGTGGAAGTACTGATCCTACAAAGAAACCCAAAAAAGTGAAGTGAGTGATAAAATATAAAACAAAAGTAGGTAAATAAATTTTAAAAATTGGAAGAAGGCCTGGTTGGCTGCTTTCACCATAATGAATAGGATTTCAGAAATAACACTTCACCTATACCGGGAATTAAGCGCAACAGGATATAAAGGAGGGAGAAACGGAAAATAGGACATCAAGGTTATGGCTCGGGTGCGCATAGAACACAATGAAAATTTTAGATGCAACAATATAAAAAACTAGACGTTCAAGTATACATCTAACCACTCCTTAACAGTTTTCATTTAACCTAGTTAACTGAGACACTAGTCTTTTAGTCATGCATTGCGCAGGATAGCAAACTAACTACAAAACCAATTATGGAGCACAAGGTAGTAGTTACAAATTTTGATTATGGAAGTGGCTATCACTTAAGGTTATATAAACTCCTATAGTCCTATACATAAAGTGATTATAGTCACATCCACTCAGTTAACAGAATGGTGCTGGGCTGGTCGGGGATGTGGTTCATCCTTTTTCTTTAAAATGTGATTATAGCTTTCAAACAAAAAGTGATACATTTTGAGTCCAAAGAATATAAAAATATCATTCAGGCTTTTACAACAATACCTCTACTATTATACACAAAACCATGGTGACTTCTTCATCAACCGTAATTTATCTCTGCCTTTTCGTTTCAAGGCCATATCATAGGAAGGCAATTTCTCTGCTATTATATGGTGGGAATCGCATAGTACTTCTTCAACTTTGTACTACCTCAGAAGAAACCCAAATAAAGTCCCATTTAAGAAATGTCAACATACAGGCTATTGGCATTTTTAAAAAACTCTAAACTTATCAGATTTATGTTTTAACCACTTCAAGGTCTAATTGGCATTAGTCATCATGTAAACCTATTGGACTGAACATGGGGAGAGAGTAAAGGATATGTTTTTATGCATGAGGAATACAAATGATTAATAGCTAATCAAATGTAACGACTTTGAGATGCTGAACAACTAGATGTCATATGACCAAGCACCACTGAGCCATGCTACCATAAAAATGTTCAAGAAAAAGGAGAGATTAGACAAACTCAGTGCTCATTATGCATTTATTATAATTTTATACCTTCTCCTGACAGGGAAAATGAGGGGGAAATGATGAAAAAATGAAAACAATACATGTGAAGAGCCAAGAAGACAATCAAAAGGTCTGTATTTAATCATACAAAACCAAATGAACGTGGAAATTGTCTTAAATTTGATACTTGGTAAAATTTTGAATAATAAGAAAGAGAATTTGACGTTAAAGAATGATAACGAAGCTGATACTAAACCAAACGAACAAAGAAAAAAAAAGCATTTTTTATTTGACTCATTAATTTTTTTTTAAAGATGGTCCCAAAATTAGATGCTTCCTGTTCTTTGTCTATTACTACAATGAGATACACAACCATGATCTACTATCGCTATTTGTCGCACTTAAAGTCAAACCAGAAAGTCAAAAGGCGGCTGAAAGGTTGATTTCCATACACCACCTAAATGGTAACCTTGCATACTACTCCGTATATTAATAAAAACAAATTGATTTGGCTAAACGTTTTTTAAAAAATTAGGAATCGGAAAGAATCTTAAGGGCTAAAACCATGAAAACCCATCATGCGCGGTAAAAAAAATATTTGGGCATGTGTAACTCATCTAGTCTCCCTGACCAGCACTTCCTACACCAATTTTCCCACCTGTAACATCTCTAGTTACATTCACCATATAAATAAAAGTGTATGGTAAAGGAAGACTACATAACAAATGCCCAAAGACCAGTATTATTCACGCATAGTTTGCTGAGAATCCTTAGATGAACTCATGAACCTCCATGTTATTTAGAATTGGTCAAATGCATATGCAGAAGCTAGGCATTCTTAGTAAACAATCTACGGATATAGCAGAATTCAGAATTCACAATTCATAAGAACAACCTGAACTGTATCGAATTAAAGGTCTAAAGCTGAACTCAACCAAGTCACAATATTCACATTAAATAACAGATCACATTTCCTCGACCTAAAGCTGAATTTAGAATTCACAACAGCCTGAAAATTCACAACAATTAAATTCCAGAAATCTAGGGAGCAATCTTTCTGAATTCACACATCACATCAACAAAACTCTCATTGCAGAAATAAAGGCATAAAGCTGAAATAAATAAAAATAGGAGTAAAATACATACCTGAACTAAAAGTAAAACACATACCTGAAAATCAGAAGACCACGACTCAGCGAGCAGGAAGATGGAGGCTGGATGGCGCAGCCGCGGGGGCGGCACTCGGAATCGGGCGAGGGGCACAGGGCAGTAGGGCACTGCTGTCTGTGGAAAAGAAATAAAGTATGGTAGAGGCGATTCAGCCGATTCAAGCTTTCCTACAAAGTGGAGAAAGCCGACCGGCGTGAGTGGCAGCAGGCCTCGACTTGACTGCTTCGACGATTCGAGCATGGACAAACTCAGGTCGACGGGCGTAACGGGTCGTTCATTGCTGATTTACCGCTTACTAGCTTAAGGATGTTTTCGGATCTAAATTGTTGGTCTGGTCTGGTCTGGTCTGAACTGATCTGATCTGCTAAACGTTTGATCTCTGTGTATTTTATAACTACAGAAGTCTGACCTGATCTGGTCTGGTCTGGTATAGGACTGGAAACAGTCCAAAAGAAAACATCTTGACCTACACAAAAACCTGGTTCGGGCTGGGCTTTTTATAAACTTTCGGCCCATCATGTGTGGGCGGGCCCGGTCCGGCCCGCAAAAACAGGCCTAACCCCATATCCATACCCGCCCGTAAGAGCTGGCCGGGTAGTCCACCGGGCCTCCCGGCCCGGGAAAACTTAAATTTTTTAAAAATTATACGTAGTATAATTTTTTTAATACTTTAAAAATAATATTACAACATTTAAAAAATTGTTAACATGCTTATAATGTTTATAGGTCTTTCACCACATACAAAAAATACTTACACAAAAATAATATTGAGAAACTATATCTAAAATTTAAAATTCAAGCACAAAGTATTATCTTTAAGTATAAAAATAGATATTATATTGGTTGGGCTAGTTGTTGAAAACAAAAATTTAAATTTAAACAGAATAAACTATAAATATGTATAAAGAAAAATTAGTAAATATAATTATACATGTGCACATGTAAATAAATAAATTAGTGTGTATATATGTATGTGTATATATATATACTTTGTATGTATATATACTAAATGTAGCAAGTCTGGCTTATCGGCCCGGACGGGCCTACACCCTTACCCAAGCTTGCCCATATCTTATTGCGGGTCGATCCCCTTTTTCTCCGCTCTTCCGGAACCGGTATAGAAATGGGTGCTTTTTCTACATTGTTGACCCGGTCCGGTGGGTAAATATATATGCCCAAGCCCGCCCATTTGTGCGGGCGGAATGGGCGGGCCGACCCAGTTTTGTGCAGGTCTAAAAACATCCTAAGGCCCTCACTGCTTCGCTTGCTTTTGAGAGAGCTTTTTTCGAGTGATTCTCAAGTAAAAGTAATATGAGAAATGCTAGTGGTAGTCAAGTTGTACACAATTTGTACATAAAATGTCGGTCACAGATAATTGGTACGGAATTGTCTGTGGGCTCAGACAAAATTTTGTTTGTGTCCACAAACATTTACTTTCGTGTAAAAACTAAAAAGTACACTAAGAGTCGTCTGACAGTCTGACACTGACACCAGCTTGCAAATCAATCAATATATGTGCAGTACCTGTGTGCACAGACAATATTTTCATGTTGCACATACAATTATTTGTCTGTGTGCTCAAACAATACTTACCACACAGACAATAGTTGTTTGTGTGATCAACTTTAGTTGTCGGTGTGATCAATTTCAATTGTGTGGGTGAACAAACAATTTAATTGTCTATATATATCCAAATGAATGATGTAGTTGTATGTGTGATCAATTTAAATGTAATTTGAAAACAATAGAAAAACAATAAAAATAGACGAAATAAGATGAATAAGCTGATTTTGTGCAAATAATGAAAAAAATGATATAAAAAGGTAGAGAAAAAGAGGATGAAGAAGAGAAGATGATCTCTCATTTTTTTGAGATATTTGAATGGGTTGGGTAAAGAGGAAAGAGAGAAGGGAGAGGGGGGAAGAGAGAATGGAGAGAGAAGGTGGAAAGGGAAATGGGATTTTTCTTTGGACCTTTTATATTGAGCAAGTGATTTGCGATATTAGATTCGGGTGAAATTATAAAACCACCATTACTAACATTAATCTCTAAAAACTTATAAACACCAATGAGAGTAGGGGTGTTTTGTGTATGAAAAATGTGTTGGTGTAACTCTAAGCTATATAGAATTGTATGTTATGCTTGTTCATTTGGTCATTACCCTTCCCTTTGCCGTGTAAACGCCGTTGCTGGGTATCAACGTCTGCCTCTTCGAACCCTTCTCTTTTTTATCTTCCCTTCTCCTTCCTCTCTACAACACACTATTAAGCAAACCAGTCGATCACCACAATTCCAGGTAACTAATACCCTTCTGTAGTTCTGTGTCTGTCTTCCTTCTGTTTACTTCATTACAGCCCATGTCCGCCTCTAGGTTTACCTTGCAACAAGGTTAGTAGACAGTTGAAATCGGGAGTCAAAAAGGAAGTCTTGTTTGCGAGTTTGAAGACCATATTAGCCGTGTCATCACAATATGGTATGCATATCCTCTCCAACTTATGGATATCATTCAACTTTATATTTAATTTCAAGTTTCATTGAATACATTCTGTCATCATTCAAGTTTTCATTTAATTATATTTCAAGTTTCATTTAATTAGTTTTCATTCTCTCCAACAGAGAGCTTGGTTCATGAAATTAGTCCCTTGCCTGAACATTCTGTTAGACACATGCATAACAGAGAGACGTGATGTATAGGTCATTTTGTTAATTGTTACTTCGTATAATATGCTAGAGTTATTAACACAGCACCAAAACTTTTTAAAATTTTACCTCTAACACAAACTGCTAAATCTCTTGAGCATTCCAAAAGATTCATGTGTGAATTTTAGTGGTATTATAGAATAGAAAAGTCTCTTTGGACCAAACTGTACACATGAAATATCTGTTAAGAAAGTAATCCATCCTATGAACATTAAAGCCAATGATTCTATTCCTTGGATAGATATTAGATAAATGGAGTCTTTCATGGAAGGAAAAATGGCTTGAGTTTAGTTGTCATTGAAAAAAAAATCTATAAATTAAAGTCCAACTAGACTAAAACAATGTTGATAGTTCATAGTGGTTGGTAGATATTAGGAGTTAAAGCTGACAATTATGTGGTCTGTAAATTTTAAATGATTATGTATTTTCTTTCATTGAGGTATATCATTAGACTTCTCGCATTACTCTTTTGTTGTTTCTACGTTTGGAGGTTAAGTGGTTCTTTCTTCATTTTCCACCCGTTTGAAAGTGTGCCTACTGAAGACTTAAATGACATATTTTTGATTGGTTATGTCACAGTTCTAACATTGAATCATTAAGAGCTATATTAGGCTCAGTTCTAACATTGAATCATTAACAGCTACCAACCAAAAAAATGAGAAACATACATATTTAATATACTACGTAAGTACGTATATAAATAACATCAGGCACTTAACTAATCACGCAACATGCGTGTAAGAAACTGGATCTATTTGGGAAAGGTTGTGCTTGAAGTCATGGAAGATCCACCGAAGGAAAAGGAAATAGGGGTTTCTAGCATTTCTCATCACAGTCATTCCTTCAAGTTCTAGGTCAGGTATCGATATATCAGGTAGGAGTCTTGCTGAAACTGTGTTATTTAAAAAACCCCAGTTCTTTGAGAAAATTCATCATAAATTTTGTGTCAGAATAAGTTTAGACTATGCTACATTCATTTTTATTTTTTAGTACCTGTATACAATGCCAACTAATAATCTTTTTTTAGATGGAAAAAATTACATAACTAATATGATCGATTAGTTGAATATGGAGTAACATATTGATGTTTATTTAATGAGTGTATTCAGGTATTACTCTGTCATAATATAAGAGTACAGGTGTTCAAATAACAAGGGATATCCATCGTATTATAGAGATATAGCATGAAGTTACTATCTTCAAGAACTATTAACATATTTGCACTCTTGATTGCTTTCTCCATTTCTAGCTCAACAATTATTGCATCTTTATACATCATGCGCTTCTTTCCTACGGTGTTGATTAAATATAGATATTTGATGATTGAGTTTCCTCCACTAGCATATCCATTAACAATGTTACAATGTCCATCCGTGAATCCATGATGCAAATATCCATCAAAAGCAGCATCCCCGGTTAATAGGAGTAAAAAGTTTTGAAATTCTAAAATAGGACGTCATGTTTTTATGTAACACCGTCCCCAAATATATTTACTTTTATGTAAATAATGTATTGAACCTTATTAAAGGGTTAATGAATTTACGAAGTTGTAAATTTTTACTACTTCTTTCGCGTGAATAGTAAATTGCACGTGGAACCCACACCGAGTGTGGGGGCTGCCCGACATTCCCGAGACCATATATTTTATTCATCTTGGTCTAGATAATAAATATATATTGGTGGATATTTCATTTGGGCCATGGAAAGGCCCAGAGTTGACCGATCGGTCAAAAGAGGCCCAAATTACCGGTACTGGTAATTTAACGGATAACAGCCCGAACTGAATTTCGGAGGCTTATAAATTAAAGTTGGGGAATGTATATTCATTATACATGTCATAATGAGTAAGAGCACATAATATGTTTTATTTGACCCGATGAAATAAAATATATTTAAAACAGCCCGAAAAATACAACTTTCGGGACCGATTGTACACACCGGGACACAAAGGGATGACCTCCCACATGAGTGAGGGCCACCCCACGTTTTTTTGTGGGCTGTGAGAGGAGGGGAGGCTGGCTGATTGGAGAGGAGGGGTGTGGGAGTGGTTGACTTGAGGGGATTGGCATCAAAAGGACACATGGGGGGTCCTTGCCATGTTATCATGGTGGAATAAGCCAAAAGGTGGCATTTCCTCTCACCTCCACCCCCATTTTCGACCAACCCCATCAAGAAAGGAGAGGGAAGCTCTCAAACCATCCTCCATAGCTGCAAAATTCGAGCTCAAGCATAAGTGCTCAAAGAAGGAAGATTAAAGAGGGAAAAAGTTGGGAAAAGTGTGAATAATTAAGGTAATGACCTTATTATAACTTCTCCTTTATTTTTCTTCTACCATATGAGGTATATATCATGTGAAGGACCCTTAGTATGGTTCCACATGTTATAAGTATGGATTTATGGGGAGGAAGATGGTTCTATGTCCAAGAACGGACTTAGAGACCAAAAATACCGGTTCACCGGAAAATAACCTTTTTGAGGTTATTTGTATTAACATGAGTTTTATGATTATAAAACCTTGTTAGGCACTTGTAAAGGGTATTTCAAGTGATTTCTCAAAGTTGGAAAAGTCGCCGGAGTTGTTGCCGGAGTTGACCGAAAGTCGCCGGAGTTTCACCGGAGTTCAACCAAGAAGGGTAGAACTTCATAACGCAAATTCAAGGTGAGTGGACGGCTTAATATCTTATAACTTTTGGGTTAATTATGAGATTACCTAAATAAATGTTATATGAGTTCATAATAATGTTTAAAAGATATTTAAACATGTGATTAGCCAATAGGGTTAAGATTGTATGAAAGAAATAAATTGTTTGTGCATGGAATATGATATGAAGGATTTTATAAAATACATATTTGTTTGAAATGTATAAGATGCACAAATGAATATTATTAACTTAATTACATGATGGTTAAGTTGATAAGTATAAGACTTGTAATGGCGGCCAACGACAACGTTGACCGATGGATAATGAATTAATTAATATCGGTTGATATTAGTTAATTATGTATTTATATAATTGCATGGCTTTGCATGGATTGTGATACATAAGCTTGATGTATTGGATTAGTTATGAGTAACTAAGTATGATATAGACTCTATCTAGGTTGATAGAAGGTTGATCATAGGCAAATATAATTTGGTGGAGGACCCTAGGACTTAAAGTCCTTAACACTCGGATTATAAATTGGTGGAGGACCCTAGTACTTAAGAGTACTTAACACTCAAAATTTGGTGGAGGACCCTAGGACTTAAAGTCCTTAACACTCGGATTATAAATTGGTGGAGGACCCTAGTACTTAAAAGTACTTAACACTCAAACTTGGTGGAGGACCCTAGTACTTAAAAGTACTTAACACTCAAACTTGGTGGAGGACCCTAGTACTTAAAAGTACTTAACACTCAAACTTGGTGGAGGACCCTAGGACTTATGAGTCCTTAACACTCACAAACCGGTGGAGTACCCAAGGATTATGATTCTCAAAACTCGTAGATTATGATATTGGAATAGGGACAAGGAGGAGTCCTATACACTCATTGGTATATGGGTGGGTTGGGGTTTTTAGTCAAGAATATTGACTATTACTATTTTTCCCAAATAAAATGGTGATCTACGGATCGGATATTTTCCAAGTATATATTTATACTAATAAATATTTCATAACTTGGGGGAAAGACTATCTATTTAAGTATCACCCTATGTTTGGGTCTTATACTTGAAACGTTAGTTATTCTATATTTAGCCTGCTACTCGCTCGGTACTTGTACTGACCCCTTCGGGGGGCCCCCACCATTTTCAGGTTGAAGCTAGGGCTTGCTACTTGCACCTTCTCACGGGTGGTATCAAATCAGGAAGACGTGGTTCGTGCTTCCTTATTTTCTTTCAAACTACCGAACACTTGCTCATGGATATTTGTTCTACTATAAACTATTTTTGGGGCTTGCATGCCCATGTTGTTGGCCGGTTGTGGCTTATGACTTACCGTTGAATATTTCCGCTATTCATTGGTTTAAATGTGATGTTGTTATGTATGTTTACTACTGAGTATGGATGGATTGTTTTCTCAAACGCCTTGTGTAATTAAGTGAGGTTGACTCGCGGGTGACGTCACTTAATTATACGACGGTTGTACACGCGCTTGGATTGCGGTCTGGGGCGTGACAATTAAGTGGTATCAGAGCCATCTCAGTTCTAAACATTATAATCAACCTCTCACAAAAGATTTTACAAAAGAGTTTTTACCGAAAACCATGAGCATTGTATTTTGACGTTTATAGGACTATTGGTGCTTAAGTTGCAAGGCCTCTAATTGTTAAGACGGTACCCTTAACAATTGGTATGGTAGTGACTTGGGCCAATACGTGTCTGTAACGTTCTTCCGTCAATTGACATTTATAGGAGTCTAATGACTCATCCATATTTCTTTCAGAAATGGAAGGCAGGCGAATGGGGACCAGGAACAATCCGAGGGGGCAAGCGCCGGTAGCATCCCAAAGGGGAAGCCGGGCTGCATCTCGGGGTTCAAGAGGAGGCCGTGGAGGCCGTGGAAGCCGTGGAGGTCATCAAGCTCAAACTGTGAGTGATGGCCATGTAAGTTCGGTGTATGAAACCAACACCGAGGACTATGACTCAACCTACGTTCCAGAAACGGAGCATGAGGAGACCCCGTATGATGGGGGTGACACACACACCGATGATGATGATGAAGAGAGTGATGCCAAGTTCGCCCAAATGGGCGAATTGCTTGAGTGGTATCAAAAAGAAAAGCTGAGGAGAGACCTTAGGCGCCAAGCAAGGCGTGGCTCTCGGGGTGGTTCGGGTCAAGGAAGCCGGGGAGCTTCAAGGGCCACCCCCGCGGCGTCACATGGTGGGCGTGAAGGAGGTTTTTGTGTGAGAATCTCCAAGTACCTCAAGGAGGCTAGGGCCTTGGGGTGTAAGTCCTTTGACGGCACCGGTGACATTACCGTTGCCGCCGATTGGATAAAGAAGGTGAAGGATGCGGCAAAGGACATGCAAATTTCACAGGACGTGAAGTTGACTGTTGCTTCACGGCTGCTTGAGGGGATAGCTTCCACGTGGTGGGAGAGTGTAGAAGGGAAATACCATGGGGAGGTCTCATGGTTAAATTTTGAGCAGGAATTCTATGACCAATACTACACTGATTATGAGAAAAATGTCAAGCGTAGGGAGTACACCAACCTCAAACAGAGGGAGGGTGTTTCTGTTAAACAGTTGGAGCAAGATTTTAGAACCTTGGCTAGGTTCTTGCCGGAATACGCGATCAATGAGGACCGCATGTCGGAGCACTTTTGGGATGCCTTACTCTTGGACATCCGTGATCGGGCTACGTACTCGCGCCACATGACCTTTAGCGAGGTAGTGGAGCAGGGCCTTCTTGGGGAGGCTCAATGGAATGAGAGGAAAGAAAGAGACGCCGAGGAGGCGAAAAAGAGAAAATGGCATAATTCGGGGCCGCCCGAGCAAGCACGGAAGAATCACCACGGTGGGGGTGGTAGTACGTTCAAGACGCCGGCACCACCGGCGAAGAAGAACAAGGATGCTCGGTGGCACGCATCCTCCTCTCAAAATACGGGGTCTCCTAAGTGTGCCAACTGCTCAAAGAATCACTTCGGGAAGTGCAACGCACCCCCGAGGTGTTATCGGTGTGGGAACACGGGCCACATGAAGGCCAATTGCCCACAATTGGGGGGAGGAGGAGCTCCGGGATCCGGAGGAGGAACCATGACGGGGAGAAACCGTGCGGGCCCGTCAAACGGCGGTACGGGAAGAGGCGGCGCGTCCACAAGTCATGCCGCGTCCGTAAATCAAGGCGGGACCCAAGCACGAGTGTACGCAATGACCGAGGCTGATGCACGAGCAAACCCGGACTCCGTTGCAGGTAATGCACTTATTTTCCTGTATTTCTAGGCTTATTTGGGTCATACGAGTCATTGGGTTTGGGTGCGGGCCACCCCGGGGTCAAACCCCGCGAATTCGGGGCGAAACGGGCTAAAAACAACTACGCGCGATCGCGCGTACCTACAGACGCACGACCGTGCGTGCGAGGCAGCAGCCTCTGGCCAATTTCCGCGCAGACGCACGCCGTGCGTGCAGGTAAGGCACGCCGTGCGTGGACGCACGATCGTGCGTGACCAGCTACGCACGATCGTGCGTAGCCGGCAGTGGCGGATTCCGGATTTTTCAAGCACGCACGACCGTGCGTGCCACCCAGGCATGCCGTGCGTGGACCCCCAACACCCGAAACTTGATTTTTTCGCCCCGTTCTTCTACGTTTGGACCCCCGTTTGATTCCAAACATTAGTATGAGCCTAATAACCTCCTAAAGATGTGTTAAAACATTAGAAGATGTATCTTACATGTGTATAAATGTAGGAACATTAAAGATCAATGGTAGGCGTGCGAGGATCCTCATTGATCTAGGGGCACAACGCTCATTTGTGAGTGAGGCGTTCGCCGAGGGCCTTGACGTGCCATTGACACCTATGACTCAAACGTTGCTAGTCTCCACACCGTTAGGAGACGACGTGGAGAGAAATCATTACTATCCGTCGTGTAAGGTAGAAGTGACGGGTCAACCTTTGACTTGTGATTTCGTACCTCTAAGCATGTTGGAGTTCGATGCAATCCTAGGAATGGATTGGCTCGAAAAACACCATGCCCGAGTAGATTGCTACACCAAGGTGTTGGAGCTCGAGGATGATCAAGGGAACACGCTATGCTTTGAGGGAGATCGGGGGAAATCTAATGCTTGTATCATATCCGTGATGAGAGCACGGAAGATGATGAGAAAGGGATGCCACGCGTACCTTGCCTACGTGGTGGACGATACCAAGAAGGAAGTCGACATCAAAGATGTACAGGTCGTGTGCAAGTACCCGGATGTCTTCCCCAAAGACCTACCGGGGCTTCCACCCGATAGAGAGATAGAGTTTGTAATTGAAGTGGAGCCGGGAACCAAACCCATTTCGATTCCTCCTTATCGAATGGCACCGGCCGAACTTCAAGAGTTGAAGGTCCAACTGCAAGAATTATTGGACAACGGATTCATCAGACCCAGCCATTCACCGTGGGGGGCACCCGTACTCTTCGTGAAGAAGAAGGATGGTACACTAAGAATGTGTATTGACTACCGACAATTGAACAAGGTCACAATCAAGAACAGGTATCCCTTACCGAGGATTGATGACTTGTTTGATCAACTTCGGGGGGCAATAGTGTTCTCGAAGATTGATTTGAGGTCGGGGTATCATCAGTTGAAGATCAAGGAGAGTGACATACCTAAGAGTGCATTCCGCACTAGGTATGGTCATTACGAGTTCCTTGTGATGTCATTTGGTTTAACCAACGCACCGGCGGCATTCATGGACTTGATGAACCGGGTGTTTAGTGAATACTTAGATCAATTTGTGATAGTATTCATTGATGATATCTTGATATACTCCAAGAGTGAGGAGGAGCACGAGCATCATTTGGGGCTTATACTTGATCGGCTAAGGGAAAAGCAACTCTTTGCCAAGTTCTCTAAATGCGAATTTTGGCTCAAGGAGATTGGTTTTCTCGGTCACGTCATATCCGGTTCGGGCGTAGCTGTGGATAACGCCAAAATAAAAGCTATCATGGATTGGGAGAGACCCAAGAATGTGAAGGAGATACGTAGTTTCCTTGGCTTAGCGGGATACTATCGTAAATTCGTTGAGAAATTCTCCGTATTGGCGTCTCCATTAACGAAGCTCACAAAGAAAGGGGCCAAGTTCGTATGGGACGACAAGTGTGAGAAGGGGTTCCTTGAATTGAAGAAACGACTTACCGAAGCACCCGTCCTTGCCCTACCCATACAAGGGATAGGGTATGATATATACAGCGATGCTAGCATCCAAGGGCTTGGATGTGTACTGATGCAAAACGGTAAGGTGATTGCCTATGCTTCTAGGCAATTGAGGAAACACGAGGTGAACTACCCTACCCATGATCTAGAATTGGGGGCGGTAGTGTTTGCACTAAAAATTTGGAGACATTATCTCTACGGGGAGACATGTCACATTTATACCGATCATAAGAGCTTGAAGTATGTATTCACTCAAAAAGAGTTGAATATGAGACAAAGGAGATGGATGGAGTTGATCAAGGACTATGACTTGATCATCGACTATCATCCCGGAAAGGCCAACGTAGTGGCCGACGCACTGAGCAGGAAAAGTACGTCGGGGACGTTACTTACTTGTCTGCAGGCATTAAGGGCACGCGTGGAGGTGTCCACGTGTGGGGCTCTCATTGCTCAATTTGAGGTTAGGCCCACCCTATTGGGTGAGATTAGTCGAAGTCAGGCCATTGATGAGGAATGTCAGAAAATCCGTGAAAGAATCCTGGAAGGACCCGTTGAGAACTTCCGAATACGTGATGACGGTCTATTATTGTTTAAGGATCGTGTATGCATACCAAAGAATGAGGAACTCCAGAGGTCTATACTTGAGGAGGCTCATTCTTCAGCTTATGCTATGCATCCAGGAGGTACTAAGATGTACCGAGATTTGAAGGAAAGTTACTGGTGGTCAGGTATGAAGAGGGACATCGCAGAGTATGTGAGTCGATGCCTTACTTGCCAGCAAGTTAAGGCAGAACATCAGCACCCGGCAGGGCTTTTGCAGCCACTCACCATCCCAGAGTGGAAGTGGGAGCACGTGACCATGGACTTCGTGGTGGGGCTACCACGAACAGTGAACAACTATGATGCAGTTTGGGTAGTGGTTGATAGGCTCACCAAGAGTGCACACTTTTTGCCTATCAACATTACTTATCCTCTTGAAAGATTGGCCAAGCTCTACACGGAGGAGATTGTGAGATTACATGGAGTCCCGATATCCATTGTCTCGGATAGGGATCCACGATTCACATCCCGATTTTGGCCAAAGTTTCAAGCATCGCTGGGTACTAAACTGAAGTTTAGCACAGCTTTTCACCCACAGACGGATGGACAGTCCGAGCGGGTGATACAGATTTTGGAAGACATGCTTAGGGCATGTGCTTTGGAATTCCAAGGAAGTTGGGACAAGCATTTGGCCCTAGTGGAGTTTGCTTATAACAACAGTTATCAAGCAAGTATCGGCATGCCTCCATATGAGGCATTGTATGGGAGGAAATGCAGAACACCGTTGTGTTGGGACGAGGTTGGCGAGGCCAAACTCGAAGGGATAGAGCTGGTTGAGATCACCAAGGCCAAGGTAAGGATCATTCGGGATAGATTGAAGGCTGCTCAGGACCGACAGAAGAGTTATGCTGATAAACGGCGGAGACCGTTGGAGTTCGAAGTCGGTGACGAGGTCTTCCTAAGGATTTCTCCTTGGAAGGGCATCATTCGATTTGTATCGAGGGGAAAGCTTAACCCCCGATACATTGGTCCATTTGAGATCCTTGAAAGGATTGGAGCCGTGGCTTATCGTCTCAAGTTAACGCCGGAACTTGAGAAGATACATGATGTGTTTCATGTATCAATGCTCAAGAAGTACATACGGGATCCCTCTCATATTCTTGAGAAACTGCCAGTAGAGATCCGTGAGGATTTGCAATATGCGGTGGAACCAGTGAAGATTGTTGGTCAACAAGTGAAGAAGCTTAGGAATAAGGAGATTCCTATGGTAAAGGTCCTTTGGAGGAGTGATCGAGTCGAAGAAGAAACTTGGGAGACCGAGGTCTCAATGAGGGAGCAATACCCATTTCTTTTCGATTAGATACTTGGATTTCGGGGACGAAATCCCAAATAAGGGGGGGTGAACTTGTAACACCGTCCCCAAATATATTTACTTTTATGTAAATAATGTATTGAACCTTATTAAAGGGTTAATGAATTTACGAAGTTGTAAATTTTTACTACTTCTTTCGCGTGAATAGTAAATTGCACGTGGGACCCACACCGAGTGTGGGGGCTGCCCGACATTCCCGAGACCATATATTTTATTCATCTTGGTCTAGATAATAAATATATATTGGTGGATATTTCATTTGGGCCATGGAAAGGCCCAGAGTTGACCGATCGGTCAAAAGAGGCCCAAATTACCGGTACTGGTAATTTAACGGATAACAGCCCGAACTGAATTTCGGAGGCTTATAAATTAAAGTTGGGGAATGTATATTCATTATACATGTCATAATGAGTAAGAGCACATAATATGTTTTATTTGACCCGATGAAATAAAATATATTTAAAACAGCCCGAAAAATACAACTTTCGGGACCGATTGTACACACCGGGACACAAAGGGATGACCTCCCACATGAGTGGGGGCCACCCCACGTTTTTTTGTGGGCTGTGAGAGGAGGGGAGGCTGGCTGATTGGAGAGGAGGGGTGTGGGAGTGGTTGACTTGAGGGGATTGGCATCAAAAGGACACATGGGGGGTCCTTGCCATGTTATCATGGTGGAATAAGCCAAAAGGTGGCATTTCCTCTCACCTCCACCCCCATTTTCGACCAACCCCATCAAGAAAGGAGAGGGAAGCTCTCAAACCATCCTCCATAGCTGCAAAATTCGAGCTCAAGCATAAGTGCTCAAAGAAGGAAGATTAAAGAGGGAAAAAGTTGGGAAAAGTGTGAATAATTAAGGTAATGACCTTATTATAACTTCTCCTTTATTTTTCTTCTACCATATGAGGTATATATCATGTGAAGGACCCTTAGTATGGTTCCACATGTTATAAGTATGGATTTATGGGTAGGAAGATGGTTCTATATCCAAGAACGGACTTAGAGACCAAAAATACCGGTTCACCGGAAAATAACCTTTTTGAGGTTATTTGTATTAACATGAGTTTTATGATTATAAAACCTTGTTAGGCACTTGTAAAGGGTATTTCAAGTGATTTCTCAAAGTTGGAAAAGTCGCCGGAGTTGTTGCCGGAGTTGACCGAAAGTCGCCGGAGTTTCACCGGAGTTCAACCAAGAAGGGTAGAACTTCATAACGCAAATTCAAGGTGAGTGGACGGCTTAATATCTTATAACTTTTGGGTTAATTATGAGATTACCTAAATAAATGTTATATGAGTTCATAATAATGTTTAAAAGATATTTAAACATGTGATTAGCCAATAGGGTTAAGATTGTATGAAAGAAATAAATTGTTTGTGCATGGAATATGATATGAAGGATTTTATAAAATACATATTTGTTTGAAATGTATAAGATGCACAAATGAATATTATTAACTTAATTACATGATGGTTAAGTTGATAAGTATAAGACTTGTAATGGCGGCCAACGACAACGTTGACCGATGGATAATGAATTAATTAATATCGGTTGATATTAGTTAATTATGTATTTATATAATTGCATGGCTTTGCATGGATTGTGATACATAAGCTTGATGTATTGGATTAGTTATGAGTAACTAAGTATGATATAGACTCTATCTAGGTTGATAGAAGGTTGATCATAGGCAAATATAATTTGGTGGAGGACCCTAGGACTTAAAGTCCTTAACACTCGGATTATAAATTGGTGGAGGACCCTAGTACTTAAGAGTACTTAACACTCAAAATTTGGTGGAGGACCCTAGGACTTAAAGTCCTTAACACTCGGATTATAAATTGGTGGAGGACCCTAGTACTTAAAAGTACTTAACACTCAAACTTGGTGGAGGACCCTAGTACTTAAAAGTACTTAACACTCAAACTTGGTGGAGGACCCTAGTACTTAAAAGTACTTAACACTCAAACTTGGTGGAGGACCCTAGGACTTATGAGTCCTTAACACTCACAAACCGGTGGAGTACCCAAGGATTATGATCCTCAAAACTCGTAGATTATGATATTGGAATAGGGACAAGGAGGAGTCCTATACACTCATTGGTATATGGGTGGGTTGGGGTTTTTAGTCAAGAATATTGACTATTACTATTTTTCCCAAATAAAATGGTGATCTACGGATCGGATATTTTCCAAGTATATATTTATACTAATAAATATTTCATAACTTGGGGGAAAGACTATCTATTTAAGTATCACCCTATGTTTGGGTCTTATACTTGAAACGTTAGTTATTCTATATTTAGCCTGCTACTCGCTCGGTACTTGTACTGACCCCTTCGGGGGGGCCCCACCATTTTCAGGTTGAAGCTAGGGCTTGCTACTTGCACCTTCTCACGGGTGGTATCAAATCAGGAAGACGTGGTTCGTGCTTCCTTATTTTCTTTCAAACTACCGAACACTTGCTCATGGATATTTGTTCTACTATAAACTATTTTTGGGGCTTGCATGCCCATGTTGTTGGCCGGTTGTGGCTTATGACTTACCGTTGAATATTTCCGCTATTCATTGGTTTAAATGTGATGTTGTTATGTATGTTTACTACTGAGTATGGATGGATTGTTTTCTCAAACGCCTTGTGTAATTAAGTGAGGTTGACTCGCGGGTGACGTCACTTAATTATACGGCGGTTGTACACGCGCTTGGATTGCGGTCTGGGGCGTGACATTTTATTCCCTAAATAGGAGAAATTTTTGCCAAGTTTCTCATTATCAAACTTTAAACATGACAGTTTCTGTCAAGTTTTTTCCAAACTTAGCAAAAATTACTCCTCTTATTTAAGTGGTCGTATATTGGAATGACTCGAAGAAATTCAGCATCAGTTAAGGCGATTTAAATCCATTTGTATTAAGATTTATATGACGGATATGCTACTACTAAGATTTACCATCTCATTAGTACTTACATGTGGATACAATTTTGTATATTTTTCGAGTACAGTTATCTTCACTCACATCTATATTACGAATGTTGTGGTGCCATCCATACACGTGCAGCCCAAGAAAATAAAAACTGGTCATTATTGTGTCGACCAAGTCCAGCCAATGCTTTGTAAGCGATAGTTCATCAACAATTTTAAATGCACTCCCTCTAAAATGTTTAATACTCCGTATATCTTTTCATTATTCTCAAATAATATCACATGTTATTGACTTAGAATGGGATTCCTCCTAAAGTGCTATTGATCACAAGCTTGTAAACTTTAAATTCCAGTTTATATTTTATTTGGGCAAAACAATTACTTATCTACTATAAATATTATTGGGCATCAACTCACTCGCGCAACGCGCGATACAAAAACTAGTTACTACCTATAAATATAGAGAGTTGGAATAAAAAGGGATAAAGTTGAAATATGGATAAAATGTTAAGTTGGAATCATCCTCAAAGTTGAAGCTATTTACAAAATAACCAAAAGCTATTAGAAACATCCTACCCTTACTTCTGACTGTTGGCTTAAAAACACTTTAAATTAAGTAGAAGCGTAGATTTGCAAACACCTTTTTCAGTTTATTTCAACAAAAAAGTTGAAAAGTGATTCTCATTAGTGTTTGTGCAAACACCGCC